CAAATGTGAATTGTGTCACATTACTTGGAATGCCATGTCACATTGTGATATAAAGCTTGCCCTTTCCGATGACGTCATAGTTGTTCCGAGCAGTGTTTGTGGCTAGAACATGTTTATATGGCCTCTCCAACATGTTACGTAGTGATTAATTTTATGTTTTTACGCGGCAGGATTACTGACAAATTTGTAACTCATTTTTAATATGTTTTTAAGGAAATTACTGATTATAGGAAAAATTGCCAGTACTAATGTGAAAATGAACTCTTGTAAACTAATGAAATAAAAAGGTGTCAGGGATACTGACAAAGAGGGGTGAAACAAATTTAAGTCCTAATCCTACGAAGTGCACGCAGATACGTATTGCGTCACAAAAAAATTGTAGGTCAAAGCAAAATCGCACGAAGCGGCAAAATTTCTAACAATTGTAAGTACCGCTTTGGACCTTTTTCGCTTTCCGGGCAATTTCCGATCGAAGGGCGCCTCCATATCGTGAGCCTCGAGCTCCTCCAATAAACCGGGTCGGAGACGGAGTCTATCGAGTCCACCTGAGCGCCGAGTGGGCGTATGGGAGAGAGAGAGGGAGGGAGAGGGTCGCCAGGGGGCTGAGAGCAGCCCGGTCAGGGCAGCCCCATCAGCTGGCCACTGATCGAGACGGGATAAAACGCGGACGTGCTCCTCAAAGTCGAGCAGAGAGGGAAGTGGACGGCAAAAGAGACGGGGGAGGAAACAAGAGACTGGCGTTAGCGGGAAAGAAAAGAGAGAGACGGAAAATGAGATAAACGCGGAGTGACAGAGAAGGGGAGGCGAAGTGAGAGAAGACGACACACTCTGTCCCTCTGTCCCTCTCCGACACTCTCGGCAGGGCACCGTGCGCCCGGGCGGTAGGCTGCCGGCGCACTGGGGTGTCCAGCGGGTCGGCCCGCCCGGCGGGCGCTGCCCGTAGCGCTGCCGGGGCAGCACAGCAGACGACTATAGACGACTGTCAACGACGCGATCACCCCATCGGTCAGCCGTCGGTCAGTCGTCGGCCACCAGCGCGACTCAGCCCTTTTACAATTGGGCTACTCTATGAGGGAGAACCGCAACCCTTATTGGTGGTTGGGTCAATTCAATCCCTTCATTCAAATTCTAATGGCATTAAAGTAACTAAATGTACGAAAAAGAAGAAGAAGAAGAAGAAGAAGAAGAAGAAGAAGAAGAAGAAGAAGAAGAAGAAGAAGAAGAAGAAGAAGAAGAAGAAGAAGAAGAAGAAGGCCTCAGTCGCAGTGCGTGGAGAAACACTCCGCTCCCTGCGCTCCCCAGGAGTAATGTGTACCACTTCTTGTTGCTGTCCGCCGCGGGGCTCTCCGCAGGGGAGGGGAGGGGCGGGCTGGGGGAGAGGGGGAGAGTGGTCTAATTAGGAGGCTGATGAAAGCGAGTCCCTGGCTAGGCGCCGGTCACACTCTCCTCCTCGCCCCTTGTACCGCCGCCCCTCCCCGTCCCCTCGGCCGGCTTGACTGAGTCGCCTGGGGAAACAGATGTTGGACGGGAAACCATCTGACACTTTACTTCAGCCAGTGGAAAGGAAAGCTTACTTTACGGGACCTGAGCTCGCGGCGGAGCAGCGGGGGAGGAGGGTCAGGGGGTTCTTTTGAGGGTCGGCTGAGGCTGAGCTGGCGCTGAGCTGGCGCTGAGGTGCAGACCGCCCCGCCCGGTGGACTTGGATCCCCCAATCAGACCTGATTGCGTGTCTGGTCACTGGCCGCCGCCGCCGGGCTCCACTCCGGCCAACAAGATATGAAGTAAAGCGCAAATAAAAGAAAAATGGTCGCCGTAGAACGTTCCGTACATGGATGCTGGATGATAAATCTAGGAGACTACCATCCGGCCGCAGAGATTGGGCCGCTCTCTGCACCCACTTCGTGATGAGGTGAGAGCTCGGCGGTGGCACGTGTCACACGCTGGACAGCGTCCCCGGCCGCGGCGGGGGGTGCAGGTGGGGGTAGGGGGTAAGGGGGTTGCACGTGTGCGACACGGAGGCTAATTACGGAGAGAAAGGCTTCGGGACGGAGAGCTTTCCCAGCGGGTAGATTTGCCCGGATTTGCTGTAGTTGTGCACTTAAGGCTCCCCCCTCCCCCCTCCCCCAAGGTACGCGGGGGTGTAGGTGTCAAGCTGAGGTGCGAGGCGGCCTGGACGGGGTGGCGGCGGCGCGCGCGGAGGGGAGGCAGCCCCTAGCTGGCGCTGTGATTGAGTTCCCCCTCCGCTGCGGCCGCGCCCCCCACCACCGCGCCGGCGGCCAATGACGAGCGCGCAGCCCCCTCCCCGCGAGGCGCGGCGCGGCGCGGGGGTGGGGGGAGGGCCGGGGCGCACCGCGCTCGCGGTAAGGGAAGGCAGCAGACTCCCTCCCGGTGGCGCGGTAGCCGCCTGAGCCATGGCGGCCTGAGTTGCTCCGCGACAGCCCTGCCGCGCACACGCACGCACGCCCGCACGAGCGCCCGCACGCCCGCCGGCACGCGCGCGCTGCCCCCACCCCCTCCGCCCCGTCAGCTGTTCCGCGCCGGACCGACGATGCCGCAGTGAGACTGCCCGCGCTGGCCATGGCCGCCCCCGAGGCCGCCGGCCACCTCTCGGGGCACCTGCCCGCCCACCTGGGCTTCACCAGCCTCGCGTCCAGGCCCGCCGCCGACAAGGCCGCCGCCTTCTCGCCCTTCTCCATCTCCAGCATCCTGAGCGACCACCACGCCGATGACGCGCCCGCCGGCCGCCGCGACGACGGCCACCCTGGGGAGCGCGGCGGCGGCCTGTACCGCAGCGGCGCGCGCCCCGGCCTCGACGTCCTGGACGCCACCGCCGTCTGGTCCAGGTGAGGAGGGGATGACGTTGACGTTTCACGCGCGCGCTGGGGACTGGGTGTCGATGATGCCGCATCCGGCGACAGCGAGAGGGAGCACGAGGCAACCTGTCACGTCACCTATTCCAGAATTACTCAATACACTCAATCTCTTTTTCCCTGGTCTGTATGTCCGCCGGGACCGTCTGTCCGTCTGTCAGTCAGTCGCCAGTTCGCTTTCCCTGCATCGCTATCGACCGGTACGAAAGCAGCACATGTGTAGTTTAAATGATGAAAGACATTGCGGTGCGGCTTACGCTTACGCTGGCCGGTGCTAAAGCGTCAGATCATTCACGTGAATCGGCGGGCCGCCGTCTCTCTCCGCTCACTCTCTGCGGCGGCCGCTGGCGCAGCTCGCGCTCGCTCACCGCGCCACGGGATTTCCAAGCCGATCCACAGACCACGCCGCACCACGGCGCCCCGCCCCGCCGCGCCCCGCTGGACGGCTTTTATGTAATGCACGTTAGTGCTGCTGCACCTTTCAAACCGGCTAGAGCAATAGGCCGCGCCTGCAAAGGCCTAGATAGTTTCGGCAGAGGCAGCCTGTCTGGACGCCTCTGAAAGGCCGGCCGGCAGCCACCCCCTACCCCCTGGTCCTGGTCGCTGCTGCTGCTACTGCTGCTGCCCAGCCTGTTCCTCACTGTGAGCCGCCGCCCTCCCCTCCCCGTCGGGCTCCCTCTCCTTTCAAAAACTCGCGGGCGCAGCGCTCAACTTATATTTCAACTCGCGGAAATTTATCGCGCAGCTGAGAGTCAGTTTTGGCGAGTTCGCCCGCCGTACACACACACACTGTGCGTGCCGACCAGGTGGGCCGGGCCCCCCGGGACACCTCGAGGGGCGGGCGGGCCGAGGGCCGGGCCGAGGGCCGGGCCCTGCTTTACCCCATGCCGCCGGCGCCTTGTCCGCCCGCGGGGACGCGCGCTCCTCCTTACCTCCCTCCTCCTGCTGCTGCCGCTCCTCCGCCCGCCGCCCCCAGCCGCCCCCGGGGACTTCGGCTATGGGCCCTGCTCTGGTCCCTCGCTCCCCACCGAGCGTGTCTCGGAGCCCCCGAGGGGCCGGGCCGGGGCGGCCAAGTTCAGCCGTAAATCACGAGTCATTAGAGACCACTGATATCGGTAATCAGGTGGCAGAGCGGCGCGGAGAGGTGCTGCCTGGCTCGGCCCCGATCGCACTCCCAGCCCCAGCTTCCTATCATCGCCGCCGGGGGGAGGGGACGAGGCGGGGCGGGCGCTCTGCTGGTGGCATTTCCCCTGCGGGGCTAAAATCACGGACCCCCGCCATCCACTTACCGCAGTCGACTCGTCTTTCAAACAGTTCGCGGCCCAGATAGTATATACGACTGAGGGAGAGAGGGGTGAGGGGGGTGGAGGGAGTCGTTCGGCTCGTGAGAGGAGAGAATCGGGGGAGCGACGAATGACGGAAGGGAGGGGGAGGGGAGGTAAATAGTACGGCTTCCGTATCAAGCCCTTTCCTCTCTCCGCACCCCGGCCCGACGCCGCACCTCGCCCCGCCACCGGTCGTGCCAACAATGCCATTGCACTAACAACAGAACAGGGCGCGCTGAGTGAGAGAGTGGCCAAATCCTCTAAGTACAGACGTATGTAATTTTCGCAGAGATTTCAAACAAAAAAAAAGGAAAAGTGTTAGTCCCAGCTCGATATGTGCGTTAAAAACAATGTCTTATTTTTATTTTAGGGAAAGGAGAAAACTTTGAGAAACTACCCCTTAGATGACGAGGAAGTCTCAAAAAAACTGGGAATTCATAATCATATATTAATTTGTCTACACTAAAGGAAAAGAACCCTCCTCAGCCCTCTTCCCCTCCTGATACCGACCGACGACTTAATAAAATAAAAAAGCAACAACCCCCCCCCCAAAAAACGTGAAAACATACACCCATTCGCTTTCCTGCTTCCGTGCCCGTTCATTCGATCTATCTCGCATCTCTCAGCTGGAACGCGTATCGTGTGGCACTGGCCATACCGCTCGCTCGCTGCCCGGCGGCACAGATGTTACACATCTGACCCGTAAAACGGATGGTTTAGCGGCAGGAGAAAGCACTACTGTGAAAATTAACAACAGCGGCTGTATTAGTAGTAGTCGTAGTGTTCCTGTAGTGTGTGTGTGTGTAGGGGAAGGGGTGGGGGGAGTGGGAGGGGGCACACGCCGACGATTGATGTCCCGCTATTAATACAGGTTAGGGCGGCACGCCCCGCCCCGCCCCGCCCCGCCCCGCCCCGGGCACGACACGCCATCTGTCTCCATTAGTGCAGCCGTGTCCGACACGGAACGCCCGACACACTGCCGCGCGCGCGCGCGCGCCCCTTGAACACCATAAGTGTGCGTGATAATGCCCCAGCAGCTCCTGGTGATGGTGATGGTCGTCACGATGTACAACTAGTTTTTTTTTCTCCTTCCCTTTTTTGTTGAAGGAAACGAGAAGGGTTTGATGGGCAGAGTCTGGAGCAGGTGAAGGGTTATGGACTCACCTTGTTCTCGTTTGTTGCAGGTTGGGGCTCATGTCCCAGCTGGCCGCGCTGCGACCCGGGCCCCCGGGGCCCCCGCACCCCCTGGGGCTCGGGGTGTGGCCGGGGCTGAGGGCGCCACCCGGAGGCCCTCAGGGCCCAAACCAGGGGGCGGAGCACCACGGCAGCGGCCCCGCTGCACCGCGACAGAGGACCACGTCAGAGGGTAAGCGACACTGTTGGTCGGCGGCGCCGGAAACCGATGTGATCTGCTGGGACAAAAGTTAACAAATAAGAGGAAGCTGATCGATAAGAGGGACAAGAAGAAGGTCGGCCTGAGGAGGTAGCGTGGCGTAGCGCCGTCCCTCAACAAAGCAGAACATGAGTGACAGCCTAGAAAAGGTTATGTTGCGTGTCGTTAAATTTCAAACAGTTTATGACGGGCCTATACATCTACTACCTTGGTACCACCTTTACCAAGGTTCATTACGACAGTTGAGTCACTATCATTGAGTTCAAATTGTACCAATGCAATATGTCCGTACACTAACCTAGACAACGACAACGGGACGGTTTAAAAGATAGTGTTAACTTACTTTTTCGAAGCAAAACTATACAGAACCACTCATTGACACAAGAATGCTACTTCGGTATAATCTAGATCCAATTTGTTTTTTACAAATTCTACAAAACTTGGTTTATGATCACAGTAATCACACATCCACTCGCACGCTTAGCTTAGCACGAACGCCGGCGTTCTACTTTGGTTAGGGACGGCGCTTACGCCACGCCACCTCCTCAGCGCTACCTTCCTCTTGTTCCTCTTATACAGCAACTCCCTCATTGACAATGATCCTGACAACTGAGAGGTGCGGCTATCCACCCAGTCCGAACCAGGTCGCGACAAACATACTGCACTGCAGGTTATAGCTTCAAGTGCTGCCCTGCCACCAGTCTCCCCGTTGTTCACCCCCCCCCCCCCCTAGCCAGAGTGGTTACAGTGCACCGATTGACATTTGCATGGCCTCTGCCAGCTCAGCACCCCCCACTCCCCCAACCACCCCCCGTTGCCTCACCACTATACCCAGTGCTACCGACAGCACCATCAACTTTGTAAAAGGTAGAGTGGAATCAGTCATCAATCTCCAATGGCTGTTTGGCGGCTGTAAACAATTTGGCAGAAGGTACATCACATTATTTTGAGTAAAAATAATGTCGTTTGGTTTAGCAGTGTCCCCGACTTTATAAAAAGCTTCATATGTCCGTTCTAAATAATGTAAGCTACTGAATAGAGGCGAAAGGGAAGACAGTGAGCGAGGAAGAAGATGGGCAGGGTGAAAAGAAATAATGGTGAGTCGAGGAAGGAGGAGGGGGGAGGGGGGCTTGAGACAGAAAGCTGCTGAACGGCCGCGTGGGCAGGCAGCATATTGACCAGCACTTGAGCGTGCCCGATATTGTGGGGCCTCGGTGGCCGAGAAGGGAGAGGGGGCGGGCGGCGCGTGGGGTTCCTCGTAGCTCTAAGACCCCCGCCGCCGCCCCCTGGGCCACTCTGCCTGGCCACCACCGGCCCGGCGGCGCCCACGGCGAGAGCCCGGCCGCGCGCGGCGCTCGAAGGTAGAGCTGACACCGGATACGTGTCAGCAGCGCGGGGCGTTCAGTGTGATTCAATTACGGATACTGACACCACACGCGCGGGCGGGCGGCCGGGCCCGGGACTAAACGCGTGCGGGGAGAGAGACCGCGGAGCCGAGAGAGGGTGCGTCTGCTTCCCTGTACCGACCCTCTCCTATAGTTTCCACTTGATACAGAATGCGGTGTCTGCGGGGTGCTTCAAACGAAAATGCAAACGTGTGTGTGTGTGCTTAAAGCATGCGACGTCCCTATACCATGTTACGAGCGCCCAGCTACACCTACGCCCCCCCCCCCCTCTTCCTGCTGCCCCTCCTTTCCCTCACCGCCGCTACGCTCCACCACCACGGCCGCCCCCGCCCGGTGGGGCTTCCCCGTCCGGCGCGGCGTCGACAAGCCGTCAGAGTTCGCGTTCACGCCGCACGTAAACAGAAACAGTTAGGCTTAGTGGCGGCGCGCGGGCGGGGCGGGGCGGCTGCGGGGCCATGCAGCAACCCGAGCAGCAGCCGGGCATGTCGCACGCTTGTAGGTGTGTGAATTCTATTTCGCACACTTGTAGGTGTGTGAATTCCGATTTGCGGGCTTACAATTGAGTACCAAGCAAGGTTTATGAATTTCACTTTACACACTTGTAGACTCAATTCCTGCAAAATCATCTCACCTGCAAGTGTGTTCATACACTTGGGCTTCCTGCTTGAGAGAAATGATCAGGGAAAGGTAAAATGTTTAAAAAAATTTTTTTTTAAAAATGACTTGTTTCTGACTTTTCTTCCACTTTTTTGACAGTTTGACGAGCCCGATTTGTGGTCGTCGGTGTGCTGCGCCCTCTTTCCCCTCCTCCCCTGATGGGCGCCAGCGGCGCCAGCGTCCACCACATTGGGCCGGATCCGTTGGCGGGAAAAGGGGGGGGGCGGAATTCCTACCGGACCTCGCGGCAACATCACGGCTCACTGGCCTCTACAGGGAGGGCGGGTGGTTATAGGGGGATGGGGCGTAGGTGAGGGATTGGGAGGGGAGGGGGCATCAGGCCAGAGATAAGCGTCCAGGAGGCGCCACATGTCAACGAACAGAAAAAGGTTTTGCTCGGGGACTGTAAGAGGGAGGGGGAACGGAGGAGCTTTGGGGAGCGATTTATAGTGGCAGAAGCACCGGCCCTCGGACGGTGTTCACGAGGGAGAATATAATATGACGACTTCCAGGTAATCCATGTTTAGAAGGCTGGCATTCGGCACGTCAGATCGTCAGATCCAGGTCAGATCCGCGACCGGAGGGATGGATAAAGAGGATCCTCGGATAGATCGTTGGAAGATCGATGAGGAGAGAAATTTTATTTTTATTTTTTGTTGGTTTAATAACAAGCATTCTTTGAAAAGTTGACACGTTTAGCTTCAATCTCGCAATAGGACTGTGCCAAACACCACACACATTTTATTATGCCAAAGAATTGATCCCAGTCCCAGTGCCCAGTTCTATGTGAAAGTAACTCCTGTTAACCTTATGAGTGACTCGGCGGGATGTCCTTTGGCAGAGTCGGAGGGTGAGTAGGAGGGGGAGACCTCTGGGTGAGTGAAGGAGGGCGGAGGGCGTCGGTGGGGAGGAGCGGGTGTGAAAGGGAGAAGGGGAGAGAACGGGGGACGGCGGCGCCCGTGCGATGGGCCGACCACCAGAAGAAGTAAGAGAACAAACAAATCCTCTTTTCGCTGCCTTTCAGTGGCCCTCTAGCCCGACTGGGCCGGCTGGCCGCGGGTCCGAGGCAGAGGTGGGGGAGGGGGGGGAGGGGGGGGCCAGAGTAATTAGGTTAGGCGCCAAGGCCCGAAGTGGTGGCCGCTCGTCCGGCTTAGAGGCTCGCCGTGGCGGGGAGCAAAGGAGAGGACTTCCTCATACTGTACCGAGAACAAGGGTTGGAACAAACAGGAATAACCAACTGCTGCCGTTTTACTTCTCATGAAGACACTTACTGCTCCATGTGTTGTCCGCGCCCGTTGTTGTATAGTATCCTTGTCCCGTGTACGTGTCATCATTGTCAGGTTAAAAAACCCAACAATGCAATACACGAGGGATTACTTCCTCCCCCTCGAAGACGAGGAGACGGCCCTTATCGCCGGTAAAGACAACACAAACCGCATTGCTCTCTTTCCAGTTTTAATCCCCCCATAGCTCGAGAGTAGTCTCCGCACGCACGCCCGCGCCTACCTGAAGGCCCCCAGCCTGGGTCCCGACGAGCCGATGGGGTAGAGATAACGCTAAAAGACGGCGGCGCGCGGGCGGGTGACCTCAACGCAGGGTGAGTTGGTTGGAAACGAGTAAGGGGGGGGGG